CTATTCTATTTCCCCTTCCCAGTGAGATTTAAGCATACTCCCTTAGGTCCTCCTTATTACTTATCTTCTTTGGGTCCTTGGGTCTGTGGATTGTAGTATGGCTATCCTGTACTATATGGCTAATATGTGATTATAAGTGAGTAGATACCATATCTGTTTTTCTGGTTCTGGGCTGGTCTGAGTTGATGGGGGAGCTTCCCTTATCTGAGGAGTAGGGGAGGGGAATAGGGGGAAGAGGAAAGGAGAGAAGGATCAGGAGAAGAGGGAGGGGGCTACAATCAGGATGTAAAGTTAATTTAAAAAAAAGGGAAACTGAGAAGTTAATCTGGGGGAAAGAGGAGGTGGGGGAGGGGCTGGGAGGAATGGAGGGAGGAAAACTACAGTCAGGATGTAACATATGAAAGAAGAATAAAGGTTTTGTTTAAATAATAATAATCTCCTGATCTTAGCATATAAGGCTCTTCACAATCTACTCTATGTCCCACTGCTATCTCACATGGGACCGTTGCTGTGTAATTTCTACTCTGTTGTCAGGAGACGTAAGAACTTTGCATGCTTTGTGATTCTGTACTTTGCTTTGCATGGCCCTGTGTCTGTGTGCAGATGCATGTAGGATAGCACATGTGTGCATGCCTGTGGAGGTCAGAGGTCAACCTCTAATGTCATCATTCCCTTAAGTGCCACCCACCTTGTGTTTTGAGACAGGCTCTCGCATTGGCCTGAGGTTCCTTGAATCAATTACTCTGTCTGGCTAGCGAGGCCCAGACATCTACCAGTTTCTGCTTTCCCAGAACTGGAATTGGCACCACCACGCCTGACTTTTCAACACAGGTTCTAAGGACTGAAGTTAGGCTGGCACAGAGAGCACTTTACCTACCGAGCACTTAACCCCCTTTGATGCTGCTCTTTCTATGCTTCTGATTTGGGTAACTAGTTTTTTTTTTCCAGGTGTACTTGATTTACTAACAAGGTCTAATTCAAATATTGACTCTTTAGGAAAGCCTTTCTTGGTGACCTGACCTCTGTCCTCATTATCTCCCTTGTATTTGTCTTGGTGGTTTCTATTGCTGTGATGAAATGCCATGACCAAAAGCAACTCGGGGAATAAAAGGTTTGTTTCACTCATACTTCCATATAACAGTTTGTCATCAAAAGCAATGAAGGCAGACGTTCAAGCAGGACTGGAACCTGGAGGAGGGGCTGATGCAGAGGCCTGGGCAGGGATGGAGGGTACTGCTCACTGGCTTGCTCCTCACAGCTTGCTCAACCTGTTTCCTTATTGAACCCAGGACCACCATCCCAGAAATGGCACTACTCACAATGGGCTGGGCTTTCTCCTACCAATCACTAATTAAGAAAATGCTTTACAGGCTTGCCTATAGCCCAATCTTACGGAGGCATTTTCTCAGTTGGGGTTTCTTCCCCTCAGATGACTCTAGCCTGTGTCAAATTGACATAAAATTAGCCAGCATAGTATTTGGAAGTCTCCAGGCTGGTAATTTGGTCAGCCTGCCTATCTATCTATCTATCTATCTATCTATCTATCTATCTATCTATCTATCTATCTATCTATGTACATACTTACCTACCTATCTATCTACCTGTCTATAATCTTTATAATTTCCTCTTTCTCACAGGATCATCATTGGAAGGTCTGTTTTTATAAATATATCTTTTTGATACCCATGATATCACATATTTATGAGACTATTATAATGGACATTTCCAGCAGTCACAATCTGGTTTTACGTATAGAAATTAAATGGCTACAGACTTGAAAAGTGAAACTAACTGGCAAGTTCCCATACTACCTGTTGTTCACTGTTTCTGTAGGGGTATCTACTTCTGTGTCCAGTACCCCTGTACAGTTCTGCCGGAATGGTGGGACCTGGCAAAATGGCAGATGCATTTGTACTGACGAGTGGAAAGGGCTGAGATGTACAATTGGTAAGTTACTTGACTGATACTATGATGACGTATTGGTGAGCCTTTTGTTAATAACAAGAACAGCAGCCAAAAATTCTGGAAGCTTTAAAGACTATAAACGCAATAAGCATAACAATGACAGCACTAAGATGTGCACTCATGAATTCACCACAGCTATGGTTAACTTCACAAGACTCTGCACAAGACTGGCCTGTCCACATTTCGTTATGGATGGCAGAGGCTTTTGTGAAATTCCATCCTCCCTCCTCCCCACAGAGGAACTATTGTGAATTAACTGTTGTTAGGGGAGGAGGTCTGATTTTCTTCAGTGATGTATCCACTGATAAACTTGCCCTTACGCCAGTAAAAAACCTCCCACTCATGCTTTTGGGAAAGAAACTAATTAAACTCAGTGGATCAAACACAAAAAGAAGGCATGAAAATAGGAGGAGGACATGTTGGAAAAGAAGTTTTAGAGGACAGGGGATAAAAGAGGAAAATAGGGGAAAAATCTAAAATTTATTATGTAACTGTATAAAACTATCAAACAATAAAACACAAGCACAGATACATATATGAAAATATTGTAAATGTCAAACATGTAGGTTTTTTTCTCTCTCAACAATCAAAACCATGTTTTTCTTTTAGACTCTAGATGGTTGAGACACTTTGTCCATTTTCCAAATGTCATTTTTTTCCCTATATATTAGAGGTATAATTTTTTTTGTTCCAGCCTTTAATCCAGGGCAACTAGTAATATGGTTCCCTCGAGTCCTTTCAATGGACTTTTTGTATGCTTTTTGACTGTATTCCAAATGTCAGAGTTTTAATATATTTAATGTTTTGAATTGAGATGAGTCTTCCTACATAAGCATATACTTATAAACTTAATTAATTAAGTCATTTCCTTTCCCTCGAGTTAATAAATTTAAGGTTTGGCTTCAGTAAATGACGTGTCAGAATTCCATGCAAGCTGTTTCTGGATCAAGGTGTACTTGTACTTCATATCGTTTTCATTCCTATGCTTCCAGCTTGGGAGAGTCCCTCCGTCCACCCCCATTAGTTGTCTATATTCCTTCCAGGTAATACATGCTACCCACCCATGATTTTGACCTTTTTGCTTTGATTCAAACTGCCATAAAGTCTATAGATTATAGTCACTCGATTCTTTAGATTTGGCTGGAGTGATGGCACAGAGGTTAAGTACACTTGCTGTTCTTCCAAAGGTCCTGAGTTCAATTCCCAGTAACCACATGGTGGCTCACAACCATCTATAGTAAGATTTGGTGTACAGGCAGAATGTTGTAAAAATAATAAATAAATATTTTTTAAAAAGAAAAGAAACTCAATTCTTTATATTTTTGCTGATCAATATACAATTCTTGTTGGTACTCACACCTTCCCTCTAACCCAAGTTTGTACAGTGTACATTTCGGCTGAAACCTGTTATATAGCATATTTATTCTAATGGCAGAAATTTAACCAGATAGAAAGTGTGGAAACTCCTGAACAGGCCAGTTGACTCCAATAATACTTATTGGAGTCTTCTTTCAATTACATTGCAAAGGTTCTGAACGTCACCTTTTATCCAGTTTCAAATTTCAAAAATAAAAGATATCATTTCTAATGAGATAAAATTGTTTTCCTTACAGCTAATTTCTGTGAAAATAGTACCTACATGAGCTACACCTTTGGCAGAATCCCAGTGGGTAGATATGGACCTTCTTTGCAAACCTGCGGTGCGGCCACGGTAAATGGTATGTGTTTCTCCTGGAATCTCTGTCTAAGCACAGGAATGCTTAGCCTGAGTCATAGCTACCATTCCTCCTGCCAGCTTATCTGTGGACAGGATGGAAATAATCAATAAATGGGACCTCATGAAACTGAAAAGCTTCTCTAAAGCAAAGGACACTGTCAGCAGAACAAAACAACAGCCTACAGACTGGGAAAGGATCTTCACCAACCCTATATCTGACAGAGGGCTGATATCCAGAATATATAAAAAACTAAAGAAGTTAAAAAGCGATAAATCAAGCAATCCAATTAAAAAATGGGGTACTGAGCTAAACAGAGAATTTTCTGTGGAGGAATATAGAATGGCAGAGAAACTCTTAAAGAAATGCTCAACGTCCTTAGCCATGAAGGAGATGCAAATCAAAACAACCCTGAGATTTCACTTTACACCATGAGAATGGCTAAGATCAAAAACTCAAGTGACCACAGCAGGTGGGGAGGGGGTATACAAAATGAGTAAAGTGTAATTAATAAAGAAAAATAAAATTAAAACTCAAGTGACAACACATGCTGGAGTGGTTGTAGAGAAAGGGGAACCCTCTTCCATTGCTGGTGGGAATGCAAACTTGTACAACCACTTTGGAAATCAATCTGGTGCTTTCTCTGACAATTAGGAATAGTGCTTCCTCAAGATCCAGCTATACCACTCCTAGGCATATATCCAAGAGGCTCAAGTACACAACAAGGACATTTGTTGTACAACCAGATCTTATGGGAGTCCAAAGAAAATTTTCACCTATGATAAGCCACCCCTCTAATTATGATTTTATCTATAGATATTATGAAATCACTAGGTATTGAATGAGAGTGAGGTGGAAAGTTCAGATGGCAATCTTAGAAAATAAAACTACCTAAAGAAATGCTTTACTGAGCACCAATAAAACATCTAGGAGTTGCTGCAATAGCCTGGGATTCTTTGTGTCTTTTGTAAGTTACCCAGATTTGCACAGAGATAAAAGATCAACATAAAATTTAATAGCTAATAGGAATTTCTCACTGGTTCTGGTCTCAGCCTAGTATATCTCTGTGTCAAGTTCAAAGTCACTTCATTCCTTTATGTTAGAAAGTAAATCTTTCTTGAGACAAAGAAGGAAGCAAATAGCAACTGGTCTTTGTTCAAACTCCTGAAACTCAAGTCGATTGTACAGAATACTGTCGCAATTGGTCTCCTTTTCTATTACTAGATATTAAAATAACCCCAAATTCTCATTGTTAAACATCAGTGTTTTAGGTTACTCTCAGTTCTATGGGTGGATTGTGACACTAGTTCATTTGGGGAACATACCCGCTGTCAGTTAGCTATAGCACCTCAATTCAGCGGTATGTATCCTGTCTCCCAGTCACTAGATTCCTCGCTTCCTCATATGGTGCCTTAGGAAAGCATTCTAACATCCTAAAGGGGCGGAGACTGAAAGGAAGAGTTTTGAGGCCCAGGTGCTGGGAGGCATGTATTTCTACCACACTCCATTGGTCAAGCTCAGTCACAGGTTCGCCCAGATTCCAGAGTGGTGCCACATCCTGAGGGAAGCAGCGGGGTCTTACTTGCATGGAGCATGCGTGCAGTGACAGCCGTGTCTGTTTTTACTTACCTTTTTCCTTTTTATTAAAGCGGGCAATCCTATAGCAACTCGGCTGTGCAATGTTTCTGAGGATGGAGAGATGAGATTAGAGAACGCTACGATAGGAAGCTGCAGTGAAAATCTGCAGACACTCGAAAAGCAGGTATGTTGTGTTCTGGCCCATCCGATGGGCAATTCCCGGACATTCTGGGTCTAGGCCACGTCTTTGCTCTTCACATACCTGGTCTCAGCCACATGGTTTAATTTTTGAAGGGATGGTGCCATCTAGTGTAAAACTAAGTTCATTCCATCCACATATGCTGACCTCAGTTACACAGCGACAATGACTATAGTGATTGTTCTTAATGAAATGCAGGCAGGTAGCAGAGAATGCGGAAAATCCCTGGACTTTGTGAACTGTGTTGTTTATACAAAGAAAGCAGTAAGACAAGAAAGACTTGAGAGGCTGTGATGCTCAGGAGGTTGAACCTCAGATAAATTTCAGCTCAGTCAACTGCAGTCATTTGCAAAATGTTTAGGAATACTTGTATAAGTTAAGACTTTTCTTTTCTTTCTTTCTTTTTTCTTTTTTTTTTTTTGGAACTTTTAAACAACTTTTAACTTTTAAAAAACTTTTAACAACTTTTAAACAGATAAACAACATCACAACAGAATCTAAGAATATTTCTTCAGAAGCCCAGATTTTAACAGCTGATGCCAGTAAATTAACTGCTGAGGACATCACTTCTGCTACTAGAGTGATTGGACAGATCTTCAATGAAACCAGGAAAGCTGAAGATGAGGTAAAACTCAAGGTTTTAAAACACAAGGGAAGTTCGTGGTTGTAGTCTGTTGATGGTGTTTCGCTGGCTTGGGTATGGCCTTAGGTTTGATTCCTAACACTTTGGAATGGGAAGAATACACCAAATTCTATTCTTTATCCTATGGTTTGGGTGGTGTTTAAGTTAAGCCCATTGGGCAGAGTATACTTCCTAGGAGATCCTCAAAGAAATGAAAAGGTCTCCTCACCTGAACATCCTCTGACATTGACATGGTGGTTGTTATTACATTAATTATGCCAGCATGTCATGGAATGAACAAGTCTCTTCAGCTTTATTATATACAGCTTAACAATGTATTAGACTGTGACACACCTGTTCTATCCCAAATAAATAGTTTTCCTAAACACTTGCTCTGAAATACACCTTAAACTCTGCTTTCTTTGTGCCAAGCATACTCATAGGTTGGTCTCTGGCTTTCTAAAAACAAAACAAAACAACAACAAAAAACTTTACACCAGGTTTACATGTTTAACATCACAGCCTGCCAAGTTCCGAAACATAAAATCAGGAAGTATACTTAACATTTGTCAAGAGTGGAGTCCTTGTATTGGTCAGCAGGGTTGTAAACCATCAATACGAAGTATATCAACATGGCTCCTTTCTATCATGTTCTTTAAGTATCTTCTTTCAAAACTTGTTTTAATTAACAAAATTAACAAAACCTCCTTTGAAAAGGAGGTTTTAAGTTACAAGGTAATGGAAGACAGAACTCAAATCAAATGTACTCCCAACTGTAAAGTTTAAAGAAAATTTAGTCCATAAAGACACATGTAAATGAAAGTCCAAGAGACTGTCTCTGACAGACATAAAGATAATTTTTACTGGCATTAAATATTTTACTGATATATATATATATATATAAACAACTGATAAGTTATGCTAAGTATTGTGGGCTGTGATGTTTGGACAGGCAGCCCTGCAGCAATATTTGAGTCTACTTTTAGCCAAGTACTTGTTCTTTTGTTTTTTATGGGTGGAAAGGGACTTTGTGAATAACCTTACTGTGAAGTCAAAATCCTAACCCTGTGACTTCAGCAGAGCTTCCTTTAAGTTTTTATTTCTTATCTTGGTTGTTTCCTTTGTCTTATATAGGCCTTAAGCTGAAATGTTGATCTAAAATAAAAATGCTTTTGGCTATCATGCCAGTTGTGTTATTTGCCACCATGATGATTCCTTATGATGGCAGCACTACTTAGACCTATCTTTTATGATGTTGATGTGCCTTCTCCCTCTCAGGCAAAAAAAGTTGCTATAACCACAGTGAGTCAGATTTTGGATGCCAGTGAAGAAGTTTTCCAAAAAGCTGCTGAGACTGACAATGAGAGCTCCTTTTCCACGTAAGCAACAGTTTGGAAAGAAAGTATGAAAAAAATACCATTTACCTTCCTAGGTTAAAGCATGAATAGAGATAATTGCCTGATGATTTTGGGAATCAAGAGAAAATCATTGACCTCCCACTCAGTCTTGTTCCTACGTGGAGTGATATGTGCTAGCTACTTGGTTACAGGGGTCATGGCCTAGGAGAAAAAGTAAATGGGGTGATTCAGATTACAGTTTATCCTCTTAACCTGGATCTGGTGTGGTCAGCCTCCACACAAAGAAGGTGCTCTTCCAAGTCCCTCTGGTCTTGGCAAGAGACTGGGTTGTTTGGGGTTCCCACGGGACCCCTTTGGGTAACAACTCAACTAAATATAACCTATTCCTAATACTGGAAGCTTCATTTGCTGACATTTCCTATTATGTAGGAGTAACCAACCAATATCTGTTTTGATGTAAGGCTCACGCCACATGATAGAATTCATACCTGACACTGCTTGGGTGACCAAGAACCTGAGACAGGATAGCCCAAGGACCTAGGGTAAAAACAAATACTACTGCTGCTGTAGCAATAAAATGTTGTGTTGCTATGTTTCATTCTACACAGGCTTATTGAGCAAATGGAGAACTACTCCTTATCTCTGGATGATGAGACAGTGGTGCAACCCAACATAGCAATACAGTCAGTTACTCTAGATGACACAGAGTCAAATGTTCTCTTCTCTGTACAGAAAGGTAAGCCATTTGCCTCCTGAACTTGTACCAGTAAAGAACAGTCCATTGCCAATAACAAACAATTCACAGTTCACCAACCCGCAGATATCTAAAATTCTATTTTCCCTTTCTTATAGGGTCAAGTGATTCTTTGGTTTCTGGTGGGACATCTGTTACTAAAAATGCAGACAGACTCAACCCAGATGGACAGACTGAACTCCAGATCTTGCTCAAAACTGGGGCAAGTATGTCTCAAACCTTTTTTGCATTGTTTTTAAAACACATTCAGAAGGGAAGGAGGACTGCCCCTATCAGTGGGCTGGGGGAGGGGCATGGGAGGAGAAGAGGAAGGGAAGGTGGTATTGGGAGGGAGTGAAGGAGGGGGCTACCACTGGGATATAAAGTGAATAAATTGTAATTAATAAAAAGCAAGTAAAGAAAACCACATTCAAATTCAAGGAAATACAAACTTAAGCTCACAAAAGGAGGAATAACCCTGGCCTAGTTTTACACCTAATAATTTTGCTTTTCTGTAGGCTCTAATATATTACAGCCATCTAAATTCTACTATTTTAGGTCACAGAAAATTCTTCATTATTCCAAAAACATGTTGGAGAGTAACAGGTTGAAACATTAGTGCCAGGTACACGGTCTATATTTCTATGAAATGCCTTCAGAAGTGTTCCTTACATTTCTATGTTGTAGAAAGGTTCATTCACAAAGCATGTGCACATCCTAATGGCGTGACACTCTCACACTCGGAGACATCCTGCAGATCTACGCTTGGAACTGCTTATGTAATGGGAAAGTTGTCATTTAGTAGTGCCAATTGTTATCTCGTCTATAAACTATCTTCTCACGGTCTTGTGTGTGGCCTATCATCTTAAAAAAGCTATATTCTCAAAGTCCACAGAAGTTGATGTTTTCTTTGAACAATCCAGTGTTCAAAAATACATATTTTAAAAAAATAATACATTCTTTGTAATACAGAGAAAAATGGGAGGGGGTTGGTATATGAAATTGGATGCTGTAGAAGTTTGGTCCTATTTGCTTTTTCCACAGCTTTGGTAGATGCTAAATTTAAGTCCTTGCGTTCTTTTTTATTTTTATTTGGTTTTTCAAATCTTTTGTATGTAGACAAATAGATGGATATATAACTAGCAGCTATATACCTATAAGCTGATACAAAAAAAGAAAAAGAAAAAGAAGGTTTAGTATCTATAGAGGATTGTCCTTAGGACTTCATTGACAAAGTCTTGAAAAGCTCAAATCTCTTATTTAAAATGCTGCAATATTTGTGTGTGTGTGTGTGTATTGTGTGTATGTGTGCCTGCACGCACATGTTTAACCTACATCTATCCTCCCTTACACCTTAAATCACCCTTCATATAACTTAGTATCACATTAAATTCACATGTGCCACAGTGACTGTGTTGTGTAATATAAGAAATAACAAGAAAAATGTCTGTGTCAAATATAGATGCAACTAAAATTTTCTAAATCTGGAATTGCTGTATAGAAGCCATGTATATGATGGGCCTACTGTGTGTGCTGCAGGCCTTAACCCCGTGCACAAGTACCTACTGTGTGCCGCAGACCTGGCCGCTGTGAACAAGTGCCATGGTCCTGTACCTTGCATTTTCCTGACATTGGTGTGTGTTCACTTAATGTTCATCTCTATACTTTTATTGCATATTTATATACATAAAAGAAAATATCCTGTAACTGGGAATGTTTTATGTATGTACAAAAATGACATTGTGCTATCTGAACTTGCATTTTTACCTTAACACTCTCTTGTGGACTTTTATCCAAGAATATTGACAGTTTTATTACCTGTTGCCTACCTGTTAAGCATGAAACAGATTTTTTTTACTTTTCTTTTGTACCTTGAAGGTTCATGATACATTATTATTTTTCTGTTTTTCCCTTGATATTTATTTGTACTTGTTAAACATTCATATTTCCTATTCTGTTACTTACTGATTCAAGTATTAGTTTGCTTTATTCTTATTGATAAGAAAAGATTTTTATGACTTTAGATTTAGGAAAAAATAATGTCTAATCATCCAGCCAAAGAAACACAGAAGTAGCACAAACGCAAAGCAAGCTGGGCAGAGGCATTCTGAATCCTGCTTTCTCTTTACGTAAGTTAAGAATATCTTGTCTTTACTCTGATGGTAGCTGTTATTAAAGTTGTGTGGCTCAAGCCACACCAAACTCTGTGCTCATGACATGTCAGTGCATCTACTTTGCCTGTGTTTGCTCTCTAATCGGCCCTTTGTTTCTTTGGAGAACTGGATGTTGAATCCAGAGCCTTGTACACAGTAAGCAAGCACTCTGGCATGAGCTGCATCCTCACACTCTTTGGTGACTTTCTTAAATCTGTTTCTATACTAAGATTGCCACGTGGCTCTTTGTTTTCTCTTAATCAGTGTTTGTTTTCGTATTTAGGTTTCAGTATATCTAGAATATCTAGAATGTATGTTGTGCTTGATGAAAGATGGGGATCTGATTTTTTTTTTATTTTCTTATTTATACATAAATAAGCATTATTTTTAAATGGTCTAAAACATTATTAAGAGATAGGTCTATGTTAAATTGAGAGGGAATGTAGTTTTTTAAATTACAGATAAGGGTATATCTATATTCAGCATATATGCTGAATATATGTTTTGAAACACAAATATACTGCAGAGCAACTTTTCTGAGTAATCAACATTTGCATTACCTCACAGAATTACCTTTCATGAGGAAAAAACACTCAATTCCCGCTGTGTTAGCCTGTTTCAAGAACATAACGTACTAACCATAGTCACCATTTGGAAGATGGCTCTCTTAAACATCTTTGCCCTGCCTAGCGAAAGTTTTGTAGCCTTCAATCAACCTTTACCCAACCACTTCAATAACCCTAAACATATATTCACAGTAATAAAAAACACCAGTCTCCCAAATATATTTCAATTCTTTGTTCTCTTAAAAAAGAGAGTAAAATGTAAAAGCAAAAATAATAAGGAGAACTGACTAACAATAGCCAGGAGAAATTTTATTGCAGTTATCCTAGAAATTGAAGATAGAGTTGATAAAAATAATAAGTTTGACTTCAGTATATATTTCTATGCCTGTTATAATTTTATTTGTAGATAAAAAGTATTGAAAATTCTTTTAAAATGTTTGTGAAGTTATTAGAAAACTGACTATCATCAGCTTACAAAATTAAGAGCTGATAGAAGTGAGAGAGTCCGTTTTCTTTAAGGGTGTGTGGTCTCTGGTACCTGGACCACTCTCCAGTGGATGTCCACGCCCCCAAGAGTGTATGGGCAGCACAAACTGGACTTGGTGGATTTATAAAGCAGCTGAGGACACAAGTTGGGCAGGTCAGAAAATTAGACTGGATCTGGGAGGAGTTGAGAAAGGAGGTGTATATAATGAAAATACATTGTATGAAATTCTTAAAAAATTCATTAAAAAGGAAATGATTATGTATTTTTAAAATAAAAAATAAATAAGACAGTTCCTGACCTCAATGCAACAAAATTATTCACATACAACAAAAGAACAGCAAATGCTTTGGCAAATTAGAAAATTTAAAATATAATTATTACAGAAAAAATTAAGGGTATGAATTACAAATAAATGAAAAATTAATAGTAATAAGAATACCACGTGTTAAAATATAAAGGGTATAGAGCAACGCGTTTTTAAAAAGTGTGTGCTGTTCAGTAAATTTATTAGAAAATGAAACAAATTAGGAAAAGAGGTCTAAGTATTCATCAAAGAAAAAGTTGGAAGTTAGAATTAATAAGTATAAGGAAATAAGGGAATAGAATTATAAATTAAAAAATGCTATGCTTCATCAACAAAATAGAAAATGGGATTCCATGAAAGAAAATGAAACAGACAAGTGTCTAATAAAGCTGATAAAGGGAGAAGGAAGAGGCATGGAAAAGGAATAGCTAAAACTGTGGATATTGGAAATACACACGACGCAAATCAATTGTTCCAGTAAATGTGAGTATTTGTAAAACTTACAGTTTTGTAATAGGTGCTCAAAATACTATAGGACTGAGGGGGTGGTGAGCAAGAACTCTAATTCTAAGAAGAGGGTCTATGTGCGTCTATGGATTTTAGGTTTCTCTCAGTCGTGCCATTCTTTTATTTAAAAACTAAAATAGAAATCCGAAGGGCTGACTTAACATCTGCATCTTGCTTTTGCCTTTTTCTTTACATTAGAAAATATTTTGACTTTCACTCCTCCTGTGTCCCCTCCCACTTCCTTTCAAAATTTTGACTTTATGTATGTGTGTATGTGAACAATATGTACACACACACACACACACACACACACCACACACACTACAAAGTACATCTAGTGTCGCTTGTATGTAGATCTGTTGAGGGCTGACTACTTGTGACAGGATAATGTATCAGGGAGCTCAGATCTGAAAAAACGGATTCTCGTCCCCACATCTGTCTTTTGCCTAGAAGATATTAATGTAAATATTAAAAATTGGAAATTTTTTATTTTACTTCTAGAAATCATAAATATAAACTTGTTTGGGTAGATTAAAATGGCTTATTTCCTACAAAATAAAATAAAAAGGGATTAATTAGGCTATATAGCATCTAGAAGGGAAAAATTTGGTAAGGGCAGTTTGCTGTGAAAGCCGTACATTTCCTCTCAGGCAGAGACTAGAGCAGAATAACTAGCAAAGTAGTGACCAAGACACCATCAGACCCTTGCCTGCCTCCTTCTCGGGTCACATGAAGGAATAGGCATGTCTCATGGCGGCCACTTTTGTCCTATCACTTATGAAAGAGAGCGCAGCATATGCAATTATTTGTTAAAATGCACATTTAGGAGCTGGGGCTATGGCTCAGTGGATATGAGCATTTTCTATGTGTGCATGAGGACCTCGGTTTGGGTCTCCCACTATCCACGTGAAACACCAGGTACGGTGCCTGTGCCTGTAACTGTAGCCCTAGTTGATGTGGGGCAAGAGGAATTCTGGGACTTGTTGGCCACTAGACTATCTCCAGGTCCAGTGGGAGACCATGTCTCAAGAAAGCAATATAGAGAGTGATAGAGCAGGGCATCTGGTGTCCTTTTCTGGCCTCAGCATCATGCACGGGTGTGCACACTCACAGATGTGTGGCTATGCCACACACACTCACATACACCACACGCCAAAAGGTATGCACTTATTTCTTCTACTATGTTGTATGTGGCTTGTAGCTATGCAAAGGGTTAAGAAGTATTCCTCAATTAGTTCTGTTTGGCCATGTCCAGACAGGTAAAACTTTCATGGCTGTAACCTTCCAGGGCCTTTAATGAACAGCTGACTCCATTCTCTGATATCCAAAGGAAATATTTCACAATAGCCCTGCAGCCCAAGATGACTGATGATTGGCAGAGCAGAGCAGAGCTGGTGTGGAGTGCCTGTGCCAAGATTGACCTCCAAGCTTGCTTCAGATGGGTTGCCTTGTAGCCGAAGGGATCTCTCCTGCTGTCACAAATGGCAGGCAGCCCTCATGGAAGCTTCCCTAGGCACAGCCATCTTGACAGACAAGTAACTCTTTGCTATTTCTTGCTCGGTGTTGTACCGAAGGAGAAAGCACCATGAGCTGTACCTACTCATAGATTCTCATTGCATGAAAAGTAACAAGTTTATAAGTGAGGCAGATAGGCAGAAATTTGTCGTCTCCATGGTAGATAAGAAAAGTGACCCCCAGGAAGAATCTATGGGAGGAAAGTTAGCAATAAGCCGACCAGGGGTAACATTTGTTAATTATGCCTACCATGGGTTTACATCATAGATTGATCTGCTAAGGTTTTCACACACACACAGGCACACACACACACACACACACATACACACACACACACACACACACACACACACACACGATTACAAAGCCACAGAGAGTTTTATCTTTACTTATGATTGACCAAAATCATAAACTAAAGTTTCCAAAATCATCTTCTTGGGCTTAATTTGCTTTTGCAATTCACATAAGTCAGGCAGATACATCTACTGGCTTCTTGTAAGGGATATTACAAAGGATACATATGAAAGTTAGCACAGGGGTAGTTAGTGAAGGGATACAGTTTCCAAACCCTCTTGGGGAGCACAGCATGCTCAGGAACCTCCGTACTCTCTGCTCTTCCAAAGCTTTCTGAACTCCATCCTTTGGGCTTTGCATGGAGATTTCATTGCAAAGGAATAACTGAGGCATAGACAAGCAATGTATAAATGTGATATGACAGGGGATATGATCTAACAGAACAATGGGATAAATAGAAGCGGGAAATTCAACAAGCCTGTTTGTTGACACTTCTCTTCAACTATGAAGCATCCCTGCTTCTTGGACATGGGGTAAGATATTCAGATGGAATCTTTACTGCACCTTACTCAAGTATGAAGCACCCTTGCAGTTCCACAATGATGTGAAGCTTTTCTTTGCTCAACTCAGGGTACAGCTATTGATTTTAATGTCTTTTACTCCACAGATAAAGATGCATGTGGCTTTGTAGTGTATCAAAACCACAAGCTTTTTCAATCAAAAACTTTTACCGCTACATCAGATTTTAGTCAAAAAATTATCTCAGGAAAAATAAAGGCAAGTGGCCAAGTCCCGGATGTTTCTGTGCAAATGGTATTTAATCCCACGGTGAGTTTTCCCATGAATGTAAATAAAAATTCTGGCTCCTCTTAATTACAAAACCGGAGATGATTTTGATAAAAGAACTCTCCTGGAACTCTCTTTGAAAAGTCTTTTGACGTAATTAAATTTTTTTGCCTTACCTAATTTTCTGACAAACTACCTAAATAGAAAATTAATTAATTTGATTTATACCCTTACATACTTTCTTTAGTTGACTGGTTGTTTATTTTGCTCTTGAAACAAATTCAGTATATAGCTCTAGCTGGCCATGAACTTGGAGCAGTCATCCTGCCTCAGCTTCACAAGTACTGGGATTCTAGATGTATGCTGTCACCCCTGACATTTTATGCCCTTCTTCTTCCACAAAGCTATAAGAAAACTATTAATGCTTAATACTTTTCTCTTAATATTTCTCTTGGGACTATCTTATACTATTAAATTTTTTAATCCAATTAAGCATTAACTCTGTCATCAATTCACAGTATGATAAAAGAGAATTACAGCTTTACTCCTATGCCTGTGTCTACTGGAATTTTTTAACAAAGGACTGGGACACACATGGCTGCCAAAAAGATGTGAGCATTGAAGGCTTCCTCGGTTGCCGCTGCAACCACACGACCAATTTTGCTGTACTGATGGTAAGGATATACAAAACAATCTCTTTCCAGACAAGGCTTTCTCTATATGCAGATCCAGGATCCACAAAGGATAACTTTGAGGTGTAATTTATGTAGATTATAAGTTCAGAGAAAATGGGAAGCACGGGAAATGAAGTGATAGGTCTGAAAAGGAGCACACTAGAAAGATGGTAACAGAGGGTTTGTTGTTGTTTATGATGTGTTCTTAGGATAGAAATAGACAAATTTCGTTTAGCACTGTGCTTTTAGGCATGGAAAGGATGCATACCTGTGAAGGAGAAGCTGGCACACTGCACTGGGTGAACTGTGGAAGACGGAGGTCCTTGTGGAATGGAGACTCTAGTGCATACCTGGCCATACGTAGGCTGCTTGAATTTCTGGAAAAATGTTTCCGTCGCAGCTGTCCAAGTTTCTGTTCTTGCTGATAAGTGGAAAAGAAATAGCTCTTAAATTCCTTACATTTTCTCCTAGAGGTCCACCCCCCCTTCCTTAAGCCCATTAAACACCAAGCTTCCCTGTGCGGGGGCAGGAGCCAATCTGACATTTGCATCTCTGAGCATTGTTGGGCTGGCCATTCTCAGAAGGCCTCCTCTACCTGCTCTCTCCGGAAACCATTCTTATAAAGCGAAGTGTTGGCTTGGATATGTGCTGGAATGCAGACATGTGTAGGGCGTTACAATGGAATAGCAACAGGAGAAGCTACTAAACGGCTCTTCATTCATGAATCCCTGGAAGGAAAATAGTGTTTTCATCCTGCAATAGCTGACATGTAGCCGTGTTTAGGATGGAGATCCACAGAATACACTGACACAGTGTAGGTGATCAAAAAAATAGAACTTTATTTTTGGACATTTTTGAGATAAATATGTCTCTCTCATTTTAGTTGTAAATCTGCTCTTATTTTAATTGACTTTTATTACTTCTTTTATAATTTACATTGAGAATAGATTCCCCATAAGATGACATTAGCAATAGAATTTTCCTTCTTTGACATCAAGTCATACTATTAGCTATGTAAAGATTAGTTTACCCTACACATTAAATGATTCAGAATGCTTTCTGACAGTTATATTCCTTCTGTTTCCAAGGATTCCCCTACCTCTCACTAATATTTGCCTAACCACAGCTGTAAATATTTTTGAGCTGTTAGGTCTATGACATGAATAGTTAGACCCTGAGAGAAGAGCTAATATCTAAGACCCAATGATCCATGTGTCTGTGATTCTTTGTGCACTGACAGGAAACTACTATACACACACTGCCATGACACTTTTCCTTTAAATCATGTTATTATTTTCACATCTTTACTACAAAAATAATACATGCTAATTAAGGAATAAGAGTTTACCTCATTACTAGAATTCTATCTGAAATAGAAAATGCATGTAATAAAATGAGTGTAGGAGCATATATGTATATTTATATTCTGATTTTAATGAGCGCATAATTACACAAAATATACTTTTAAACATAGATTTATGTGGCGTGTGTATGTGTTTGTGCATGCGTGCATATGAGTATGCACGCATGCACATGCCTGGGTTTACTTGGGGAGACCAGAGAACAACTTGTAGGGAGGGGTTGGTTCTCTTCTCTACCACGTGAGTCTAGGCATCACACTGAGGTCCTCAGGTTTGAGGGCAATCTCACGTGCCTGCTGAGCTAGCTATCTTGCTGGTTGCCTAGAATACACTTTTATGTGCATTTTTAAGAACAGATCAGTATAGATGTCAATATATTACACAAAAATAAACCTTTTAAGGACTTAACAGAATTATATGAACATGTTGAAGACGTGCCTGAACATTATTTTAAGTAAATTACCATAGGTGTGTTCAGCAACACATGAAATGATGGAATCAATAGCAACAGTAGACAATTCAGGTCTAACATAAACAACCCTGTCTTCTTAGACACTGACTGAACTGCCCTTCTGTATGTATTTATATATATTCTAACTGAACTAGATTAATCGCTATAAAGCCTCTACATCTTGGAAGCTCTTATTAATTTACCTCACTTAAGAGCATATCAAAGAATGCATCAAAGTGGTAGCTGGAGAAATGACTCAGCAGATAAGAACACTTCTTTTCTTTTCTTTTCTTTTCTTTTCTTTTCTTTT